AACGTGAGTGGAGAGGTGGAAAAATAACAAACCGTTTTCTATGGGCAAATACAAAGTTTCCGCCTGCACCAAATGGCGGCCTTGCCATAAAAAGCTTACAAACGATCTTTGGAGTGAGGAGATAATATCAGGGGGAGGGGACAAACTATACAAGCGATAGAATAATTGCAATAAAAGCAAATGGTTGATAACAAGTGTACGCCCTCTGTACAGAGCAAAATGCGCCTAAAACTCCATTTTGTTTTCAACTTTTTGCATTATTTCAGTCCAGTTTTTGTCTATGAATGTCTTGGTGTTCCTCAAATACACACCAAACAGTTTTAAGCCCGTGCTGGTCCACTTCATACCGAAGGGCGAGCTGCTAGTATTTCACCAACTGCCAACCCACAGTCCCTCGGACTTTTGAAAGTTGATTTTGGAATTTGATGCGCTCTCATATGTTTCCAACCATTGTGCAAGTTTATTAAAGTCTTGTTGGCGTGTAATGAATATTTCTATGTTGTCAGCATATGCTGTCAGTTTGCTGTTTAGTCCGTTACTCTGGGGGATCTCAATACTTGTGATGTCTTTATCCTGCCTGAATTTATGGAGTAACGGTTCTATGGCAACGACATATAAAAGTTTGGACAGAGAGCATCTTTGACGAAGTAGGAAATGAGATTATCTGAGATTTCCAATATATTGAGAGATGTTATATATAACATAATAAACTACAGTTGTACATAGTTAAAAATGAATTAATTTTACTGGTGTTTTCATATGCCGTTTGTAAGTGATATAATAGTACATGTAATAGCTTTCCTACTCAACATTTTAAACTGAATTCGCTACATCACAAAATTCAAATTATTGATATAACACACAGAATTAAGTAACTACTGTTATTAGCTGTATTGAATGAAATAAAGATCAATATATGTCACCGGTAGCATTGAGTATAAAAGGTTTTTGTTAAGTATTTACTTCTTTATATCTTTTATGGTTATTGTTATCATTGTAAAAAAATATGTTTCACAATAATAGCTGTCTCAACTTATAACGTAAAACGAATCACTATAACAATCAACATACATATTGTGTTGCATAGTTCGTAATG